GAAGATGCTCAGTACTTATAGAAGAAAAATGATTTGAAAGTTGTTCAAACGTAGGAAGGATATCTTTAGTATGGTTTAAATCATATTTAACTTCAAGCATATTATCTTTTAAGAGGGATAAAAATGAATTATTAAACTGTCTGATATCATTAAATAATATTTAAAAAGAAGTGCGTAAACTTAAAAAAATATGTATTTTATAAGTATACAGTGGGTAAATGTTGAGTATACGGTGTGTATACCGTGAATGGTGGTAAATGGAAATAAGGGTATATTATTTTATTAATTGTTTTTGAAGATAAATTTGGCTTTTTAAATTCTATTGTGTAAAAATAAAAATTACATTTTACGATTGAATATCACTTATCAGTTATCAGGTCGCATATGGTAAACTCCAGCGTATAATCTAAGACCGTGGTATAATCGAGTACAATATAGTTGTTACGGCTGTTGTTGATAGTATATTATTTACAGGTTCGGATCCAGAATATTTTAACAGGGGGTGCTAAAAAAAAAATAAAAGGTGGACAAGTAGGTGTCGCTCTGCTGTACAGTAGGTTACAATTGGATCACTGTAGTCTGTAATTGATAGTGTTCAATTTGAATTCAATGGACAATGATACAATATTATTGTATAAGGAAAACGAAACCGAAGACTACAATATTACGATTTACGACGTATTATATTTATTATTTGATGATATTTTTTATGAATAAAGTGATTTATTTACCTATTTACACGGAACTTTGTTTTAAATTTTCAATCCTTAGCTATAAAAACTAAATATTTTATACATTTTTAACTACAAAATAATTTTTTAATTTTAAATTTGATACATTTTGAAATAATTCTAATTTTAAATGCTTATAAAAAAAATTGTGCCTATTTCTAATAAAAAAAAAATAGTTGAAATACATTTTAATAAATATGACGTATACACAAGACATTATTTACCAATACATCCCTGACTATTACTATCCCACTTAGATGCTACAATCACTGAACTACAACGCAATGTATCAATCAAATTATCAACGGATATTTGGTCTGAACTATTGTTAGAATTCGAAGAAATAATTTCATTCAAAATGGGCGAATTGACAATACTTAAATCTGCATGTTCTTGTTTAGATGTGGACACAGGAAAATTATCAGGTTTATTATTTTCAACCAATACAACTTTATGCTGGGCTATATGATTTTTGAATGAATGAAAAGTAGATAAAACTCTATAACATCCAGTTCCCAAGCATTTAAATTCACTTACAGATTTAACCGTCGTGGAAGATATTTAAATGGCTTGTTAAATGAAAATTTATTTTAAATTTACTTTTGCACATAAAGCAATAAGGCATTATTTTATAATTATTACTTAAGTACATAAAAATAACATATTTAAAAAAAGAAAAAAATTATGGAAAGCGTCCAAAAGACTGTTAAATCAAGAAATAAACACTATTCCCCCTCTTTGTAAAGACAATCAACTAGTGACTTCTGATGCCGAAAAATGCAACGTTTTCTCAGAAATGTTATCCAACACGTTTTCTGTTAACCAAATCACTAATACTAACAACGACCGTCGAGTTCTAAATTTTTTAGATCTACCCAATTACTCTGTCCAGAAACCCATGGTACACGTAACACCTAATGAAATTAAGTTAATTATAAAAAAATTACCAAACAAACCAGGAAATGATCGTATCACGAACATCACGTTCAAGAAGCTACCTGGTAAGGATAAATCGAACCCAGATTCCTATAGACCAATAAGTCTTTTAACCTCCTTATCCAAAATATTTGAAAAAGTTATTCACACCAGATTACAAGATTTTATAAATAGTGCGGACACTATTCCTAAATTCCAATTTGGGTTTAGATCGAACCATTCAACAGTTCAACAACTGTTTCGTATAACAGAGCATATCAGCACCTCCTTTGAAAAGCACTGTCACACAGGTGCCGTCCTTATTGATATCTCAAAGGCTTTCGACAAAGTATGGCACACAGGTCTTATGTACAAATTAAAAAGTATAAACACATCAAAATACTTATTCTATATTATTAAATCCTTTCTTTCGGACAGACAATTTTCAGTAGGTAAAAATAAACGACTCTCTCTCTGACCTCCAGCCTATCACTGCCGGTGTACCCCAAGGCTCCAAGCTGGCCCCAATCGTATTGAACATTTATTTATCTGATATCCCACAATCACCACGCACCAATATTGCCCTTATCGCAGATGATACGACTATATACAGTAAATCCCGTAATATAGAAGCGATAACTCATAACCTACAAAGCCACTTAAATATATTATCAGAATGGTGTAAAAACTGGAAGATTCAAATAAACGCATCAAAAAGTACAGCAATCATTTTCAACCTTCGTCTCTACTCCACACCACCACCATTAAACTTCGATAACGTGCCTATACCTCGGAAACCAACTGTCAAATACCTCGGAGTCACTCTTGCTAAGAGGTTGACCTGGGGGCCTCATTTATCAACAAAACTAAAACTAGCATATCAACGTCTATCGATGCTATTTCCAATAATAAATAAAAAATCAGTCATTCAAAAAAAATGTTCAATCCTAATATACAAGCAACTTCTACTGCCATTAATAGCTTATACTTGCCCAGCATGGGGGAACTGTTCGGCTACACACCTAAAAAAAATCCAAATATTTCAAAATAAAGTGCTAAGAATTATTACAAATGCTCCGTGGTTCATTCGGAATGAAAATATTCACAAAGACCTCCAAATTGTTAAAATAGTTGACCTTATACGCACACTACCAAAAGAATTCCATAGTTCATTACTCAACTCAACAGGCTCACTTCACTACAATCTCCATATTCATCCACCCCTCCAACGACGTCTAAAACGCGGCCGCCCTCATGACCTCATTATTCAAAATCAACCTCCAGTCTAATCTGTTTATATTGTAATAGTTTTGCATTTATATAGTATCTCAAGTATCTGTAACTAAACTATTATTTAATATGTTTTCTCTAATAGATACGACGATCCAAACATGTTAGGAATCATAACACTGAAGTTATAAGGGATTTAATACAAAAGCTAGTGACCTAACTGTGACCCTACCCGAATAATTATATTTTTAAGACGAGCTGGGCATAGAGTGGACGGTTATATAGCACAGGAGATTGGTATTCCCCCTGGTACATGTTTTTACATAACGTATAGTATTATATTTTATAATGATCAATACAAATTCATTTTAACTTACAGATGATGAATAAATTAAATGAAGTTTGGCAGTACGCCAGTACTAGAATACCTAGTAGGATATTATAATATTTATGTTATAATTTAGACGTACATTTTTAATTTTAATTATTTTATATTTTTAAACGATATTTTGTTAAATTAACCCTAGTCTTAAGGTTATCTATATATTTTGTTTGACAACGACACAGAATCCATTTTAAATGTGATTACTACTGTTAGTGTTTATTTTACTACCTAGAAACTTGATTTTTATATTTTTGTTCAAATAATTTATTTGCATAGGTTAATTATGTAATATGCACCTTAATATAAGCAAGGCTGAGCACTAACGAGTTAAGAAGTTTTATTTTATTGTCATGTTAAGTTATTTTATATTATAATATTTGTAGGTAGTTAAAATATTCTAACAATTAATTTGGTAATTATAATTTAGTAGTTATGGAATATTAGGTAAATAAATACATACTTTTATTTTCTAGTTAAATTGTAACTTATACAAATTGAAACAAAACGAAAAGTATCTAACTTTTAATTTTAAACTTAACTTAACAATTTAAAAAAAATATTTTACTGACCAGCATTGTTTATAAACAATAACAACATTCCTATTCATTGTACCTAGTGTAATATTAAATATTAATAACCACGCCTTAAGTACTCAAACCTCTATTCTAAATGTATAAATGTCTTTATTTATAATTTTCAAATAAATAATAAATATTATAGAATATATTAAGTCTTAATATTTTTGTATGAATAATGAGTAATGACGATTACAATGAAAAATCATTACTATTACATTACATTACATATTTACAAAAACTTACAAACAAATTGTGTACCTAGTGGCTACTGCATCAGTGATCATCATATACGACTATATTATAGATGACACAGAATAATACTTCTATATGAGACACGAGTAGCATTGATTAAAATATATATATTAGGTAATAGGCATACATAATGTACTGTATTTAACCAATAATAGAATATAAAAGAACTTAATGTCTTAATAACTCAGTAACACACTGCACGACTACTGGCACTTTAATTATGAATTATGATGTATGATTATGGTTTATGAATTTTTCATATTATCATATTACATAATAATACAATCTGTGTTTACAGCTTACATACATTGTATAATATGATCTAAGGTTTACAAAGTTAGAAAAAAATAAAAAACCTAAAAACAAATTAGATGAATTAACTATACATATATAATATATATATACAGTGGCGGAGCGAACTATTTTAATGAATGGGACAGCAACATGTCCATTTGATCTATACCCACCCACCCCCAAATTTTTATTAAAATAATATATTTTAACTCACACCTCTAGACAAAACTAGAATTTTATATTTTGGAAGAGGCTATACATATATTTATTTAGTGGCGGTTCATGAATTTTTCCTGGGGGGGGGGGGGCGGTCCTTTAATATTAATATCTTATAATATATTAAGACATAAAACCTAATCGAGGACCGGGGGGAGGGGAGCAGTCCCCCTGGACCACCCCCGTAAAACCACCACATTATTCATTTATAAGAAAAAAATAGGATGTGCCCAATATATAATTAGTATTACTTTCATAGTATTACATATACTAAGAGAAATAGTAAAACGCTTAAATAATGAAAATAAAATAATGTATAAAGATGATGGTATAATATAATTAGTAATGTCATTATGATCGACAAAAAATAATGTTACAAATCCCACACAAATTTTCAAACTAGGAATACATTAAACATTTTTTAAGAAGACTTGATGAATTTCCAAAAGTATTAATTGCATCTTCAATATTTATTTTCTTATCCCTCTCACAGGAAAGAATCAATAAACTTTCCAATCTAGATTGCCCCATTGTTGAGCGTAGTCGTGTTTTAATGAGCTTAACCTGAAATATTAAAATTATATTACATATGATACTAATTACAATTGGAATCTTTATTGTTAGAATTAAATGATTGTTATAACATTATACCTTTGAAAAGCTCCTTTCAGCTGAAGCTGATGATGCGGGCATAGTACATAATCCTTGGTAAGCTAAATACAAATTAGGAAATGCTAATTTCAAATCATAAGTAGGAAGAAGATGCATTATTTCCAATGCAGTTGGTCCATCATTTTTACTAATCTCTTCAATACTTATTTCATCATCTGATGATTCATCATCTAAATCCATACTCAACATATTTTCTGATGTTTCAGTTTCAATTGAATGAAGTTTTGTTGGTAGTGTTATACCACTTATAAGTTCTGTGAAATTTTTGCTGAAATAGTTAAAAGTTATTGTTATATAAGTATTATTTAGAATATTATTTACGTATATGTATATATTATTATATTTTTTATGCACGTAATATTATTTTATTTAAATTATAGAATATTATTTTACGTATTATTTCTTTATGCACGTATTATATCTTATTATTATTTTTTATTTTATTTTTTTGTTTTGTTTAATTTATTTATCGAATATGTTCTTCACTGTAAATTTGGTGTTGAATATAATATTGATCTAATATTTCTGCGATTTTTAAACACATTGAATTATAGGCTGGTTCGCGGTTACATCTAGTGCAAAAGAAGGCTGTTAACGGACCCATAACGGTTTCAAGTTCAGTTTCGTTAAAAGGTACTTGCATATTATTATTTGCGTCTATTACGTGTTGTCTAAAACAACGTACATATATTGTGTTCCTTAGTACCAATTGATCATGTGTATCATTTAGTAACCTATCCCTTAGTTCCTTATAAAAAACATTAGGCTCAGGCATTGGTGTGGGTTCGCTCATGTTTATGTATTTTATTATATTTTTTTGAAATCCCTCTTGATTGTTTCCTGAAACATAATTATATATATAGTATTTCTTTAATAGTTTACATATACCTAGCTCTTATTTATTTATTAAATTAATCGTTTACCTCTAATTTAATTATTATTATTGTATATTATTACTATTTTTCCTAACTTATATTTTATTTTTTTTTATTTATTGTTATTATCTTATTTTATTATATATTTTTTTTTAATTAATTAATTAATTTATCTTGGTGAAGGGGGTGGAGTAAAGGGTGTCTCTTCATAATTTCGTACGTAGTCATTTCTATTGGGTGCCCTATATCTAACTATTCTGCCGGGAAATTCCATGACTTCTGTGGACCTGATATACTTGCATTTTATCATTATGTAAATTTCTATTATTAGTATAATAGATATTACTGCCAGTACTATTGTTACATATAGTAAATTACTGTGTACAAATTGATGCTTTTGATTTTGTTCTCTTGAAAGTTCTTGGTTAATCATTTGTTGTACTTCGTCTAAGGATTTGGATGCATCGTGTAAATCTGTGGATTGCATAGCTAGTCCCTTTTCCCATTTTTCATCTGTTTCGAATTTGTGTATATGTTCAGGTATTTTTTCTAAAATATTACTCATGTTAGTTACAGGTGTAAAGTCTTTATATTTTGTAATTTGGATTTCTTCCGTGGCAGTTAATACCGCGTCCCGTGCATATACTTGACAACTAATGTCGTTTATAGCTATTTCTCCTGCTTCATTTGTTTGTATTATGAATGGGTCTATTAAGTTCGCGCAACTTATAGTTAAAGTCTCTTTTCCTGCGTGAATCCATGTATTTTTCCTTTTTAATTTTTGGTATATGCTTCTTTTTAAATTAATTTTCTTTACTGTACATATCTCAGGATTAGCATACGTGTCAGCTTTTATAAAGTTTTGTACATCGCATGGTTGGCGTTCATTGTTGTCCTGTATAGGTTGTGGTGTATTACATATTTTGTATATCGATGTTTCTTTACATTTGTTTAATTGTTGATCTGTGTATGTAGTAAACCTTTTATAACCTTTGGTTACAGCAATATTATTATAAGTAATGTCCATCATGTACCATCCACTAGAATTATCTTGGTTATGACGCATTGGTACTGGTGTTAACCTGTATAATCTAAGTTCAGTGTCAGTAATCAGTGGTATTACTATATCGAATACTAATCTGTCGTTCGAATAGTAAATTTTTATTTTTGTAATTTTTTGAAATTCATTTATTAATGTCTTAATAACTCAGTAACACACTGCACGACTACCGGCACTTTAATTATGAATTATGATGTATGATTATGGTTTATGAATTTTTCATATTATCATATTACATAATAATACAATCTGTGTTTACAGCTTACATACATTGTATAATATGATCTAAGGTTTACAGTAACACAATGTAGTTGTTCTATTAACAACTCGGATAAATTAACTATACATATATAATATATATATACAGTGGCGGAGCGAACTATTTTAATGAATGGGACAGCAACATGTCCATTTGATCTATACCCACCCACCCCCAAATTTTTATTAAAATAATATATTTTAACTCACACCTCTAGACAAAACTAGAATTTTATATTTTGGAAGAGGCTATATATATATTTATTTAGTGGCAGTTCATGAATTTTTCCTGGGGGGGGGGGCGGTCCTTTAATATTAATATCTTATAATATATTAAGACATAAAACCTAATCGAGGACCGGGGGGAGGGGAGCAGTCCCCCTGGACCACCCCCGTAAAACCACCACATTATTCATTTATAAGAAAAAAATAGGATGTGCCCAATATATAATTAGTATTACTTTCATAGTATTACATATACTAAGAGAAATAGTAAAACGCTTAAATAATGAAAATAAAATAATGTATAAAGATGATGGTATAATATAATTAGTAATGTCATTATGATCGACAAAAAATAATGTTACAAATCCCACACAAATTTTCAAACTAGGAATACATTAAACATTTTTTAAGAAGACTTGATGAATTTCCAAAAGTATTAATTGCATCTTCAATATTTATTTTCTTATCCCTCTCACAGGAAAGAATCAATAAACTTTCCAATCTAGATTGCCCCATTGTTGAGCGTAGTCGTGTTTTAATGAGCTTAACATGAAATATTAAAATTATATTACATATGATACTAATTACAATTGGAATCTTTATTGTTAGAATTAAATGATTGTTATAACATTATACCTTTGAAAAGCTCCTTTCAGCTGAAGCTGATGATGCGGGCATAGTACATAATCCTTGGTAAGCTAAATACAAATTAGGAAATGCTAATTTCAAATCATAAGTAGGAAGAAGATGCATTATTTCCAATGCAGTTGGTCCATCATTTTTACTAATCTCTTCAATACTTATTTCATCATCTGATGATTCATCATCTAAATCCATACTCAACATATTTTCTGATGTTTCAGTTTCAATTGAATGAAGTTTTGTTGGTAGTGTTATACCACTTATAAGTTCTGTGAAATTTTTGCTGAATATAATATACTCATTTTTCAGTTTTTTTATATTTATGTCTTTTATCCATTTCGATAAATAAAGAAATGAGTCTATGGGCATTACATTTGGAGATTTGGAAACTTCCATTAATCGATTTGTAGAGAGAAGTGATAAATCCTTAAAAATGTCACGAGCTCCATTATATCTATTAGTAATTGATGTTATGATTTGATCTAATGCTTTGAAATAAGTGTTGATTTTGAATCTAAATTAAAAAATTAAAATCATTAAAATATGTAGGTACCTATTTAAATATTATAATAATCATACCTTTCTGACGCTGAAATAATTATTTCATCATTTGCTTGTTCACCAGCCATTTTCTTTTTTTTACGTACACGGGACTCTTTAAAATTTGATTCTGGTAAATTATGATCAATTGCAAATTTTTTAGAGTCTTCAGCTAGATCATCAAACTTTTCATCAGAACGAAGTGCAACTAATTGTTCTTTAGCATTGTCTATTAGTTGAAAAGCTTGAATAAAATCAATGTTTTTAGATTGCAAGTAACACGATGTAGGAGTTGTAATTGAAAATATTCTGCCTACCAATTTTAAAATCAATATAAAATTAAATGATGAAATTGTTTGTAAGAAAATGCGTGCGTTTGAAGATGTTACTCTATCTGTTGAGCTGGACAGAATATTTAAAGTATCAATTAATGCGTCAAATTTATCATGAATCACAGAAATAACGCGGTCATGTGACGTCCATCTAGTATCGGAAAAATTTTTTATCTTCCGAATGCGATCCTTAGATTTGGTTCCGACATTTAAATTCTTTTGGCATTCGTAAAATGTTGCTGTACGTTTTCTAGCTCTCATGTAGCTTACTAAGCTTTGTAATTCTCCAAAAAAATTCCTTATGTCTGTAGTATAGTCTAAAGTATCAACTATTACTAAATTCATTATATGAGCAAAGCACCAGACATATACTGCTTGTGGGTTTTCATTTTGGATAAATGTTCTCAAACCAGAATACTCCCCTTGCATTGAAGCAGCTCCATCATATGACTGTGCATAAAGATAATTTTATGAATGTCAAAGAAAAAAAAAATTGAATCAATAGGTACTGCTTTAGTGCTTAGAATTTCATAATTATTTATTCCCCCTAATTTATCAAAAATTAAAACTTAAAGAAACATGATTACTTACCAGCTGGTAGAGGACACAGCTCATCTGATGTACCAGGAATCGGTATGTTCAAATCATCAACAACTTTGTATTCATTAACAACAATTTCTATAAATATATAATATGACCATGAATAATTAACTTAAATAACTAGAAAATAAGAGTATTTTAAAAATGAAAAAATTACTAATAGAATAAATGATGATTGATTAATTTTTTTCTATCATTAATAAATAAAATATCTGCTATCAATTTAATTTGACTAAATTTGGTGTATCATAATAGTATTATTATAGTCAATTTAGATAGTTTTATGAATGTCAAAAAAAAAATGAATCAATACTCTGCTTTAGTGCTTAGAATTTCAGAATTTATTCCCCTAATTTATGAAAAATACCTACGGGCTATGTAAAATAAAAATGACCTTATTTCCAATCAGACTAAAATGTATTTTAAAAATAAATATTATTTAGTAATTACTCACCAGCAGCTGGTAAAGCACACTGCTCATCTGCCTCATCTGATGTACCAGGAATTGGCATGTCCAAATTATCAATTACTTTATTTTCCACAATTTCTTTAAAATATGAATTGAGAAGAATAATTAATTCAAATAACCAACAAATAAGTTGCCATTTAAAATATGAAATATTATAATTTCAAATCATAAGTAGGAAG